TCACCTTCCTGAATATATCGTGGTTCACTGTATATTCGTTCGGTCTCCTTCGTTCTCTCTCTCGCCCTCTCTCACTCTCTCTTCAGTGTTCCTGTCTATACGACAGGCTTCCAAATCCCCCCAAAACCCTTTGCACTGCAATCCTGTTCAGCGCGCTTTCCACTCCACTAAGTCAGGCTAAACTCTTACTCTCCTACCCATTGCTCATATTCGTCAATGCAATCCAGGGTTTCCTGGCCTGGCGTATCATTGGAATAACGTTTGGGCTTGGTGTATTCTGCTTTGAGGTCATGATAATGTTAACACTAATCTTAGCCGCAGCTGGATAATCACCCTTGTGTGCTGGTCTACGTCACTCGTTCAGATGGTCATGGCTATGATCTCATTCATCGAGGGCGTTCAAAGGACTTCGCGGGACGTGTACTTAAGAGACTGGGAATGGTCGATCATGGCAACCATAGTCATCGGTGCCGCCAACGACGTTCTAATTGCTGCATCTCTCGTCTTTGCCCTCCTGTGTGAGCGCAATCGGAGCGGATTGAAAAGGTAGCCATCAGTGGCTCATGTTCACTCGATTGACGTTAAGCTCGAGGTTTGCAGCACCGTCGCTGTCATAGATACACTCATACTTTGGACACTACGTGGGTAACTCAACTCGTTTCTCTGGGCTAAAGATTTCTTACATTGCTACACTAGAGACTGGATTGTTGACAAGGTATTCTCATTTGACTCGGACTTTGTAGTCCGCTTTTACGAACACCATCTTTCCTCCAATGCATACTATAGTATGGCAGGAGTACTGATGATGATTCTTGTGAGCTGTTTGTTTTTTTGATTGGAGACGGAATAAGTACTTATCTGCATGTAGTTCCTGGTCATGCCCGACAATTGTGGGTATTAAAATCCTTCTCTGGCCCACCTTCTGCTGAAATCCTGAAGTCATTTGGGTGGCGGTCTTCACATTCCTCGCAAAATGTAAATGCACACGAAATTATCATGCATTCTTGGTACTTACTAACAGCCTCTCGTCACCAGTGTATTCGAACTCACTTATGGCGGTGCGAGTTGCTCGCATCTGGGCTTACTTTTCATTGAAGTTCAAGTATTGGGCAGGTTGAATGGCCGAAGCACTCTTCGGGAGAAGAAGGAGACTATTGTTGAGCTAACGAGCGGAAGATTTGGCACCACTGATTCAACCACAGCCCCGATAAGTAGCCAGGTTCGTCGCGCCGAGCGTCGTTTTCTAAACATAGCTAATGGATGCTGCAGCTCCCGATGGAATCTGAGATAAGGTTCACTGGATCAGGAAAGCAGAATACAAACGATGAAAGCAACAGCGACTACGTGAGTTATCACTTTGTCGGTACCGGATCATGTGTACTTACGAACTTCGACCATAGGGAAACATCGTCATCTCTCGTGAAGTAATCACTCACTGAACCTTCAAGTGTGTCAACTTGCATCAATTTCATATACTGGCTGCTGCTGTGGTTTTTTCAAGTTGTTGGTTGACGTCGCGAAATCTTTTGTAGAATCAAGTTTGTATTAGCGGAGTGTTGTCTTGCGAAAACAAGTACGATGTGGTGGCGTCTCTGAGAACGGCCCGGAACGGCAAACACCCATCTGGAAAATTTACCGGTTGACATACCTAGTTTCATAACGACGCAGTCACATATCTGAATGCTACCCCTGATCCTCAAACACGAGTGGGAAGTTACACCAATGGGTCTCGGCTTACGATTCAACTGGACTGGTCTATCTCGGGGTATGTTTCCAGAATTCAGCTTCATTTATCATCACTAATGGTGGTTTAAATATTTGATAGGTGTATTTCATATACCCCATGACAAATCCGTGTCGACAGGTAAGTGCAAGAGAAATTCACCTGTGCCTGTGAGGAGCCGGGCGACGAACAGGTGCATCGCAGCATCAGTACTCAATTCATCACCCATGATTTTGCAAAATTGAGTTCTTGAGCATGCTAAGTAAGGCGGCCTACATGCTACAAGTATCATTGTGTACCAAGTTACTCGCTGGTGGAATGAGTATAGTTTCAAAGATTATTCAAGCTTCAAGCCCTTTAGGCTGTTGAGGAGTTAGGTGACAAAGGCCGGGCGACAAATAGGGCTGTGAGTCTGACATTGTAGCATTGATAGTTGGACCCGGAAGGAATTTCTTGTCACAACATTTCATTCTATGCATTACCTGAATACAACACAGTATTAAAGCAGTAGCGGGCTGTGCTGCTCGTCGGCCACGAACATTATGATGTACAGGGCCTAACCGGCATGCGACATCGAGTAAGACGCGTCGAAGAACAATTATCATTGTGATAGACTTTCGTTATATGTAGATATAAGTATTATTTTGGAGACGGTAATTGGAAACATAAAGTGATACTCGATGGAAGTAATGGAACTACTTTCTTAGATATCACTGAGCCCCCTACGGAGATTGAGTTCATTGTGGAAATCATGCGATGGTGAACGCCTTACCTCTACCAGGAATACATCCTCTCCTCCTCGAAGCTGGGACCACATACGAAAGGCACCAGCAGATCCCAAAACCTGAAACCTTCCTTCAAGTTGTCCCCCATGTTTCTCATCGCCAGAAACTCGAACCACTGAGGGTAGTAACCTGAGTACGCCCAGTCAATTAACCACAACTGTCCATCGTCGCCCAGTAAGATGTTCCTTGGGGCCAAGTCAAGGTGACATAGAACGCATGGGACGTTGGGATCATATTCCTTTCCACGCGACGGATGAGGGGTACGATGGTTCACTGTCATGTATCGCCAGAAGTCGAGTTTCGTCTGGAATGGCTCCACCATTGTGCCTGAATCGAAGAACACCGAAGGGGCATCACATCTACTTGGCCCCAAATGTGGGGGACAAGGGGGACCTATATGTGTGAGAGATGATGCACAAAGTCGGCTGCGGAGCTGCCGAACATATCTTCTCAACGTGAATGCTACCCAAAGGCGTTTATAAAATGGTAGGGAAGGCCATACATGGGATAGAGGCTGCCCGGGAATGATATCCATCACTATAGCGATTGTGCCCTGGTCACTCATTATGACCCTACGAATATGTGGTACGGGGATTGTCGTATGCTTTGAGACCAGCCTAATCGCCTCGGCCTCGGTAGACCAGATGTAGGGTTCGTCCATCCTTAGCATCTCTTCCTTAAGGATGATAGTGGGCGTAATTTGCAGAACAGAGTCTGGAAGGCCAGGGATTCGTCCTGGATGGTCTGGTGGCAATTCGATATGCTCGAGGATTTCATCATCGCCCAAGTCGTCGATTGCATTGTGACCCTATTGGGATATTCTTTTAGACTAACAGCGGGAATAAAGAGGACCTGACTTACTGTTGGGGTGACAGGTTTTCTGGAGAAGGGCAATAGAATATCGTCGGCGACGTCAAATAGAAATCCTAGTACCCGGTAAATGACCGTGAGAACGGTTTCACGGAAAGGAGCCATGTAAGAGTTTAAGGAGTCTGGCTGTTCTGTACTTAAATAGCACAAGGCGCAGATCGTGATGGAGCAAATAGCTTCAAATTGAGATTATTCATAGGTATTTAGTCATCCGTGTGAAGCGAACAGATGAAAATTCAAGGGCCTAGACTCGATATCACCTTCGGCATACTCTCTATAAACGCCGCTTCTTCCTTCGTCACCACTATATCGAAGCGCTCATAGACCCCAAAGGTTGCTAGACCAGATTGGAAATGGCAGTGGTAGCGAGAATACTCTCAACGACAGAAGAAATTACAGAGAGTACGTTGATTCCACTGTTGCGCAGGTTACATACTACCGTGTACGTCGCTTACTCTTTTTTTTTTTTTTGTTTCTTTCCACTAACACACCGCACTGACCAGCATCACCGTTCAAGACCCCAAACCCAAACCACCGTCTTCAAAACCAATACCACTCTACCCCAAGCTCAGTCAGCTCGGATAACAATGAGGCCATAGCAGGTTAATCATGATAGGGTTGTTGCAGGTGCTGAAGCGGAAGGGATGAGTCAAGGACCAGGAGGTGGGGGTGTTTTGAGTGCGTTTTCCTTTCTTTCTTTCCTTCTGTCTGCTTTTTCTCATACTAACGACGTGAAACGGGCAGAAGAGATCCATCAGGCACATCACCACTCCCCCAAATCCCACTAGACGACACCGAAGACGACGGCATGAGCGGCCGACTCAACGCCACGTCTATAGGCGGAGGTGTCGTTTTGCCATGCCCTTTCTTCGCACCTACACACGGACGTTCACCACACCCCAGTCAAACGACCTTCCCGAACCCATACGGACTTTACCTCAATTATCTACTATGACGGATACTCACTGCACCGGCGCGGGTGGTATGGCAGGGGACTGGCATCGTCCATCCCTTGGGCCAAGCTTGCCGACAATTGTACCGTCTGTGGCGAGCTCGTCTCACTCAGGCGGCGTGGGGATGAGCCTGGGGCGGCTACCCAAAGAATGCGAAGCCTACGGTGGTTCTATCTCCCAACCACCAAACACATCCTAACCAACATGCGCCTTAGGCCTTGTGGTCCATCGTCGTACACCTATTACCCCAACGCAAACAGTAACGGACGCCGTTTATCTACCTTGACACCATCCGACGCCCAATCTTCCAATCAAACTACTCCCAATCATCCACCTCTACGCAGCATCAACAACAGCAGAGACTTGCGTTGGCGAGTTTGGTGAACAACACCGTACATATCTCGCTGAACGACCGCTGGTTTATCGGGATGCGGGATCTGAAAGAGTCTAGATCGATGGGATTCCGCGTACTTATGAACCAATTTTGCCTGATTTGGGTAGGGAGGAATGAGAAAGGCGGAAGTGCTGGGGATGTGGAGGCAGGGAAGGGAGTGGTAGGGAAATGAATGGACGTTTTAATGTGTACCGCCGATCGTTTACTGGCTTTTTTGACTCTTTCTTCACTCCGACGCCGGGGATATGGGAAAGGACGAAAGTTTTTATTTCGATTCCGTTATGGTGTAGTGGCTAACATTATCGCCTCTCATCTGTAAGAGTGTGTAAGAGCGCGATAGCCCAGGGTTCGATTCCCTGTAACGGAATATATAGCAATCCATTTCTTCCTTTTTTTTTTTTGCATCGGCCCATTGTGCTCGAAAGATTTGGCACACATAAACATTGAGGTGTGTCATACTCATGAATGGCGGTTACAATCGTTACATAGCCAGCAGAATTGCGAAGCTCTGGCAGGTAACCTCGATCAAAGAGGAAAGAGGTACTACTAAGTTATCATAAAGCGCGCGGTACGAAACCTCAACTTATCCTCCTATTCTAGATGCCTCGCATATGAATATAGGCAAAAAGGAAGGGCACTAATTCTACGTGTACTTGTCCAATTCACTGTCGTATTCTCAGGCCTTCTTCAACAATACCAGCGCTATCGGATCTAAGGACATTTGGAATTTAAGGTATAGTAACATAACGAGAATGAAGGTAAATATTACTTTGACGTATTCTACAGTTAGACCAAAGGACAATTCAACACAGATACCAGTAGTACATATGCAATTCACAATCCAATCCAATCCAATCAATCATCTACGACTTCTAAACTCGGACTCAATCCGCCTCACCCGAGCTTCAATAACATGCATCGGTAGCTTTAGTCGTCCTCTGCACAATCCACATTCCAATTTCCCATTATCAATCACTAGAAAATGATCAACGATTAGTAGAGCTAGACAGATAAAAACCATGACTTACACTGGTGGAAACACCCGTTATGCGTCGAATACCAACAATTTCGGCACCATACCAGCATGAGAGCTTGTTCCAACGTTTCAAGATCCACATCGAGGTCGTATTCGTTGGGATCAAGTCCGCCTTCGAGGAGATTGTCGCAGCAGACGTAGCATTCCTCGTCGGCGGATGGAATACGACAGCGATCTGGGAGGAAGACCCGTGGTTTGGGCTGTTTCGTGGGTGCTGGGGTGTCCAAGGACTCGGAGGAGCCTTGCGGAGAGCAAATCGTCTGAGAGGTCGATGATGTAGACCCATCGACTTCCTTGGGTGAAATACTTGGTGAAGACGTTGAAGTGAGGGCGGAAGAGGTGGAAGAGGTAGGCTGAGAAGGGGGTTGGTTTCGGCTAATCGAATCGGACAACAATGCGTCCGTGTCTAGAGGATGGTGGTCGCAGATGTCGCTAACGGACGAAGCACCTAATACCAGATAGTTAGATTATACCATATACCCATTTTACCTCGTAGCTTACCAATGTGATCAAGAGGTATCCTGCTCTGCGGTAACGCAGAGGTCGAGGCCACGGTAGCTTCGCTTTCGAGACGTACACCTGAGCTGGTAGAACTCGAAACGCCTTGATCCATTGCACGACTCGAACCCATATCGAAAGAAGCCTTATCCTTCCCTTCCACGTTAGAAGACACGCCTTGACCAACTATCTCCATCTCTCTTTGTTTTCCCTTCTGACTCGTTTTGATTTCTTGCCATAATCGGTCATACGACGAATCCGATAGCGGAGGTCTTGTTAATCCTCGTGAGGCTGAATGAGTTTCCATATTGCTGGTCGGGGGCTTGCTACCAACAGTGAACGTGATTTGATGGGGTGTTGTGGACAATGTGCTACCGAACAGGTTGGTTTGTGTGTCGTTAGGCGATGGAGTAGCCGCGAAGCTGGGGGTTGAAGAGGAAGACGGAGAGATAACATTCGCCGGTGATACCAATAACGTTGCTATAGTAAACATTACTGTGAGCTCAGACCCGGTAATAGCAATTACACAACGTACCTTCTGCTGTACTGAACTGAGTACCTTGTTCTAGAGTAGAACTAGGCGGGCTTGATGATTCATGATGAACTAGATGGTAAGATTACTAAGAGCGCTAGGAAACAATGCTATTTGGTATACACTTACGAGGCGATGACCTTGAGGAGCTGGAAGCTGGTGTCTCCATTGTACTCTGGTTTGAAGATGATACTACAGGATAATCGTTAGCCAAGTTATGCCGAACGAGTAAACAAAAGGCTCACCTGCGGACATATGACTGGCGGTTCCGAGAGTCTGTCCGGGAGATGCAAAAGATGCGGTAGCTTGGAGGTTGAACTGAGCACCGGATAACTCTTGACATGCAGGAGACCGTGCTTTTGATGGAGCCAAAGGAACCATCAAGACTTCCGATAATCGGCCAGGTGTTGCCTTCGAAGAGGATGCTGAAAGACACCATCAGTACCAACTCAACAAGCCATCCAACTTGGGATCTTACCGCCATTAGAAACCATAGGTGGTTGTCGTTCTCGTCCCTTTCCCTTCACATCCACACGTTCACTCTGATTAACACTTGGAGAGACTTCCTCACTCCCATTCAGACTCTCGTCTCCTCTGGGTTTCATCGTCTTGAGTTCCTGAACCAAACGCTCATACGATGCTTCTGACAGAATCGGGCGCGCCATGCTCGGTCCACGAGGTCGAGTATTTCGATGCAATCGTTGGATTCGGCGCCCTTGAGCCAAAATCGTGGTGCGGGGCGTCACGGTAGCGTTTTCAGGCACTACTATGGGCGAGAACTTGAAGGTTCTTGAAGAGTGGGAAGGTTGAGAAGGAGATATTGGGTTTGACGTGGATGCGGTGTGAACAGCAGGACGTAGTGTAGAAGATTGAGCGTTTTCGGGAGCTGTAGATGGAGTAAATAAATCGGGCAACCATGACACGGAAGGTGAATTCACGAACCTGCCTCCGAAGTCGAAGATTGATGTTCTACTTCGCTGCCAGCAGCTGAAGACGAGGCGACGCATGTTGCAGTTGGGGCATTGTCAACCACGGTAGATGAACCAGGAGATGCAGTGCCTGTGTATCAAGATCAGCAAGATGAAATCGACACCGGAGAACCATGTACCTTCGGAGGCATCACTGACTTCTGCATCTTGTGCGGTGGATATTGGCACATCCAAATCGAGGGTAGCAGTTACATCTAGCCATCGAGAATTAGTTTATGTAAGATAGCGATGATAGTCGGCTCACCTTGCTCATGTTCATCAACCTCCAGGGCAGGATCACGGTGCCAAGGATTGTAAGTCTCATCTTCGATCCACTCCGGCGTTGATGGTACTGTAGGAACGACTGAGATAGCACGCGTTAGATTAGCATGAATGATACAAAGCCAAGCACAGGCTTACCTGCTCCATCGATACTATCCACACCAGTCTGGGATACATACTCTGAAAGGTCGATCCAGGTCAGAAAGCTTTCAGAGACGTCTCGAAAAAGCATTACCTAAGACCTGAAGTGCTGGGTCTACGCTTGGTACCCTGTATTCAAGTACGCTTATACTATCATGTTGAGGAGAGCCGCTCGGGGTTGACAGGATAGCTGGTAGCGACGAGGATGGTGCTGACGATTCGTTAACCTCAGACCACCACAGATAAAGCACTCTTACCTTGCAGAGACGATTCGTGGTACCTTAGGGATGAACTAGCACCACTCGAGGATGCAGATGTAGACTCCACCGGTAAGCTTCCGGGCGAATGAAACTGTTCTTCTGAAAAAAGATACAGAATTAGACAAGTTACGGATTAAGAATTCATAACTGCCATACCGCAGCCAACGTTCAATGACTGAGGATCTGAAAGAGGAAGAACGTCTCCTAGCGAGGTCGGCAAAGTGGATTCAGGGGGGGTTGGAGCAGCTGGTTCGGGTTCTTGGGCAAATGTTCCTGGCAAGAGGACTGTTGGCGACGAGGGACGTGTTGGTGGCAGAGGGATATTCCAAGGTTCATCCTTAACTTCTTCTGTCATATTCTGACCAGAGATAGCTTCTTTGTTGCGTTCGGAGCTGTGGGTGATGATCTGGTGAGCTAGATAGCAATAGCGTAAAGCAAAAGAACACACCTTAAGTGAACCCATAGCCCTTCCGAGCCTTTGACAACGATCCGACCAACTCCAGCAGTGATGAGTAATGCTGGTCCCAGTACAATTAACAAGTGTATTCTCTCCGAGCTGCTGACACCGAAAATACTGAGAATGATATAGAGAGCGGTGGTGTTAAAAAGTCCCGCCAGCGGGCTGAGGGTGATATAGAGTGACATGCTGAGAGTGAAGGTGTTCAATGAGTGGAGGTTTGAGAGAAGATATAATCGACAACGTACCTTGAATGTCAACTTTATATACATTTGTGCCACTCCCATTGTCGCAGGGGCGCACAAAGGACAAAGAAATTTAAGAATGGTAAAAACAATGATGTCCTATTTTAGGAAAGAAGGTTAGCACGATAGAATGATGTTACATGCTGGTACATGTAAAGGATATATACACACAGGTCCTAGTTGTCCTTAGTTGCGCAATCGAGGCAGAGCGCTTGAACGCACGGGGGCTCGCTAGACTTCTTGGAAGCTTCGGAAAGGATTTGGGCGTGAGAAGCCAGGATGTGATTCGGACACAATTCGGCAAACTTTAGGGCAGGCACTTTCCCAGCCGCTTAGACGCAATGTCGCGGAAACGAATTCGTTTTGAAAATCCCGGAGAACGATGTAAGGCAGTTTTTGCTTTAACTTTCGCCGCAGGATTCGGAGGGTAAGAGCAGTGGGAGCTACGTTCCGACCAGCCAAACACGTACTCGCCGACAAAACTAATACTAGGTTCATGCATTCATGAGCCGCACAATGACAACACGTCACACCAACTTCCAGACGGTTCGATAAAAAGGGTTGAATACTAGCTTTTCATCTGTTCACTCCGAGTCGTAACCAGAGCTTCAGGCAAATTTGAGGTACTCCCAGACGGAAATGCGAGAGGATACTTTACACATGCTACTCAATATCAGGGAACCATACGAGCCTTATCCGGAATGTGTATCATTGTCCCCCGAGCACTAACCTGGGCTTGAATGTCAGCCGTTTAGTATATTCACGCGCAATACGTTCAATCATACCTTGATATCCGTGTCACTGGCATCTAGTTCCGGAATTTCTGTGGACTGAGACTCGCCGCTAAAGATCCTATTCGTGTTTTCCCACGGAATCGAAGTTCCAAGCTCAATTGTTTCGATAGTGACATGCTGACGATGTGCTTTTCGCGAGTTGAGTCTGTCGAAA